TTCTTTTCTTTTTATTTTTTTTATTGTGAAAATACTGTACAGAGGTGTTAACAATTACATGGGCAAGATAATGAGTACATTTCTTGTCAAGCATTTTAGCCTCCTCCTTTGTTTCCCCTTCCCATCCTCCCCCCGCCCCCCCACCCAACCCTTCTCTCCCTCCACCCCCCTCCCCGCGGACCCCCGCCCCACACCAAAGTTGTAAAGTTCATTTTCGACATAACGACTTGTACATCTCATTGTTGCAATAGGTCCTTCTGTATCCCTATTTCAATGATTTGTTTTTCCCCTTCCCCTCCACAAACTCCCCCACAGTATAACCCCTGAAACTTTTCTTTAAAAGCAAAACTTTCCACAGCCTAAATACGACACCATAATACTATTGACTGTTTTCTTAGAATAGGAAGATTTTAAAATCTGGGCATTTTGAAAAGTGATTCAAAATTAATTAATATCCAAAGATTAAAAAAAAACTTGTTGACAAATAGCTGTAAAAACTTTATGCTAATCATTAAAGACCATTTGAATTGTATTTCCAAATTAAAACACTTCAAGGAGAATTGGCAAGGCTTTGGATTACAATGCCTTATGTCACTTGGAAATATGGAGTTATGCTAGAGGACAGAGTGAGTGTAATAATTTCCTGCCTGAAGCGTGATCTCTAGCATCCTTGATTATTGACTTGGCTAGTCTACTTTGGGCAACATTAATTGCCATAAAGTTTTTAACCCAATCACATCTAATGCTAAAGTCCTCCATGGAAGGAGGTTTGTGGTAATAATTTAATTATGGTTCTTTCATCCTTTTCCCCCTAAATAGAGATCATTTGTAGCAATAATTTCCTATCCCTCTGCGGATCTACCACTGAAGAATCTAATCAGATGGACCAATATTAAAATACAATTCAATTACATTAGGTAGCTAGAATGAAAAGACCCATTTAATCTCAAACCCACTAGAGCTTAAAATCAAAGCATGATAAAAAATTTAACATACCAAAACTTCCTATCAACAAATAACCCTTTCTAAGCCTCCAGTTTCAAAGATTTGTTGGATTGTAGCGATTCTTCACTGAGTTTCAATCATGGACTGACTGCTGCAATGCCAATAAACTCTACCATGTGGTAAAATTCCCATACCTGTAGCTCAGATCATGATTATTCTTATAAAAGCCAGAATGGTAATGATTTATAATTGAAAAGAATGAAAGGCTAGAACTTTTACGTTCAACAGTTTATTATTTTCATAATATTTATCTGAGCTTTGGAAGAAAGTATAAGGTGGTGCATGATAATTTAGATCTTTTGGTTTTGTTTTGTTTGTATTAAGAGAGATTAGATTTTCCATGATAAACAGGGGTGTGTGAATCTCCAGAGCTAGCTCAGACTGGCTTTGAGCTCCTTGTCAGAGATGTGAGCCACCATGCCCAACAATATATATTTTTATATGAATTTCATTAGTCCTAGCAGGGGGAGTTTTATAACTTTAAATACTATTTTTCCCTAATGTTAATTGCTTTTGCTTTCCCTTTTTCTTTCTGGCTCAATTATTACAATTTTCTTTTTTTCTATTATATATTTTTTATTGTAAAGATACTGTACGGAGGGTTTACAATTACATGAGTAAGGTAATGAAGACATTTCCTATCAAGCATTGTTACCCCTTCCTTTGTTTGTCCCCTACCATTCCTTCCCTCTCAACCTCCCCAACTCCTCCCTCCCCCACCCCGAAGTTGTAAAGTTCATTTTCAACATAGTGTCTTGTACATCTCATTGTTACAATGGGCCAAACAGTATATTTCAACATTTTGTTATTTCCCTTCCCCTCCCAAATTAGAAAAATGTATATACAAGATGCAGGGCACCAGAATCAAATATAGTGAAAGCAAGGATTGTACCATGGGGGAAGAACATACAAAAGAAACAAAACAAATCACATAGTACATTATAAATACATTAAAAACAACAGCAAGAAAGATAAAACCTCCTGTGTCCCTAACTTAGGGTTCATTTCACTTAGCATCATCTTTTGTGATCATATGTACATAACTTTTGAACTTTTCTGCTTATTGTAGACATATACTAGTTATTGAAAATAAGGGAAACTATGGGATCTATGTTTCTTTGGGCCTGGCTTACTTCACTTAATATAATTTTTCCAAGTCTTTCCATTTCCTAACAAATTGGGCGGTGTCTTTCTTTCTGAAGGAGGCATAGAATTCCAGTGTGTGTGTGTGTGTGTGTGTGTGTGTGTGTGTGTGTGTGTGTGTGTGTGTGTGTGTGTGTATTACATTTGCTTGATCCATTCATCTACCGAGGGGCATCTGAGTTGGTTCTTCAAAGAAACAACCACCAGATTAATAAGTGGGCTAAAGACTTAAAGAGAGACTTCTCTGAAGAGGAAATAAGAATGGCCAATAGGCACATGAAGAAATGCTCAACTTCTCTGGCCATAAAAGAAATGTCAATCAAAACAACATTGAGATTCCACCTCCCCCAGTTAGAATGGCTGTAATCAAGAACTTTAATAACAACAGATGCTGAAGGGGATGTGGCCAAAAGAGATCCCTACTGCATTGTTGGTGGGAGTGTAAACTTGTTCACCTACTTTGGAAGAGTATGGAGGTTCCTCAAAAGACTCTACATAGAGCTCTCCTATAACCCAGAAATCCCACTTTGGGGCATTTACTCAAATGATCACAAACAAGGCCATACTAAAGCTAACTAAAGCTACAATTTTCTTTCTGATAGAGAATGTGCAATTGAAAACAGAAAGCTTTTTTAAGTTGGAAGAGAAATATACCTGTCTTTTCTGCAATCAGTTTTACTTTTTTTTAATTTTCATTTTTTTAATTTTTTTAATTATGAAAATATCATACAGAGGGGTTACAATTACATGAACAAGGTAATGAGTACATTTTTTATCAAGCACTGTTGCCTCCTCCTATGTTTTCCCTCCCCATTCCTTTCCATCTCCCATCCCCCTCCCCATCCCACCCTCCCACCCTCCCCCACGACAAAGTTGTAAAGTTTGTTTTTCGACATAACATCTTGTACATCTCATTGTTGCAATGGGTCCACCTGTATCCCTATTTAAACAATTTGTTTTTTCCCTTCCCCTCCACAAATTATACCAACATCAAATACAGTGAAAACAGGACTTATACCGTGGGGGAGGGACATACAAAGCAACAAAGAAATCATCTGAGTCCTTATCTTGGGGTTCATTTCACCTAACATAAACTTGTCTGACCTATTCTGCTTGTCTCAGACATATTATTGAAAATTTATTGCATAGTTATTGCAAATAAGGGAAACCATGGGACCTATGTTTCTTTGGGCCTGGCTTACTTCACTTAATAGAATTTTTTCCAAGCCTTTCCATTTCCTAACAAATGGGGCAATGTCATTCTTTCTGATGGAGGCATAGAATTCCATTGTGTATATATACCATATTTTCTTGATCCATTCATCTACTGAGGGGCATCTGGGTTGATTCCATATCTTAGCTATGGTAAGTAATGCTGCAATAAACATAGTTGTGCTGGTAGCTTTAGTATGGTCTTGTTTGTGATCATTTGGGTAAATGCCCAAAAGTAGGATTGTAAAGCATAATTTCTTTAAGCCCTGTATTAAAAAATTTGGAAACCTGTACTTCAAGGAATAATGAGTTTCATGGCCTATTTGTCCATCCATTCATTCATCCATCCATTCATCCATCCATCCACTCATCCATCCATGTATTCATCCAACCATCCATCCATTCACCCATCCAACCACTTGCATCCACTCACCATTACTACTCTTGCCCATCTTCTTATCTCATTTCTATTGGATATTAGTTACCTCTATGGGTATTCAAGTTTTGAACTGTATTCAAACTCCTGTAGATTGGCACCCTTTTTCAATTGTCCCATCAGTAGGATGGAGGAGTAGGTACTGACTCTAATTTACAGTTGAGAGTAAGATATACTCTCATGTGTATAAATTTTGTTTCATCTTGTTTTAACTTGGTTTTTATTTCTCAATAATTACTTCTCTGGCTTGAATTTTTAAATCTCCCATGTTGCAATGAAATAACAATTTCTCACTGCTGGAACTACCAATCTGCTCAGGATTTATGTTGTCCTGATAATTTATAATATTTGTGTTACTGCAAGGTATAGTATGAAGCCATTACAGAGTACCATTATCGAAAATAATGGGGTTTGCAAAGATTCCGTTTTATGCAAATTTTATTAGAAGTGTCTCTCCTCAATTGGTGTTATATTTTTATGAGTACTTCAGATGAATAAATTTTCATTTAAATTTTTAAGGAGAATACAGACAATACAAATGAGTTTAAAAATAATTTCATCACTCATTTTTAGATGTACAGAAGAATCTTCATGACAATGAAAAATAGATGAGACTTGGATCTGCTCAATCTGGATAAAAGAGCACATTTTTGTGAAACAAACTCATGATTAATTATTTAAGCCTGATAGTTTTCCACATGCACTTCTATTGTACTTTCATATTATTTTTCACAACAGGACTTTTGTCTTTTGTCTTTCTAATATTTTTGCTGTTTTGAGGGAGTTTGATGTTCAGGTAATACCCGTTTAATATTTCCTTAAGTACTGTGGGGGCCTGTAATATCTAATGAGACTTTTCCCCAATTGGAGAATCTAAATTAAAATGTATAAATCTTAGCCCAGTCATGCACAGTTCAGCAGCCACCCAGGAAAAACTCATTTCTAATAAAATCTTGAATAAAACACAATCCCCTTTGATTATTATTTTCCATAATGATCTTCAGTAAATGGCTTTCTTTCTATTGCTTACTAGAACACAAATATCGTAACTCAGCAGGACCAAATACATCCTAACCACACTACTAACTCTCTGGAGATTTCAACCGACACAGTATTAAAGATAACAGCTGTCACCTTGCTGTGATCCTTCACCTTAGGTAAAGGTATACAATGTGTTTTCGCTCTGCAGGACGCGACCCTCTACATGATACCCTCCAAGATGATGAATGCCAACCCTGAGCAAGACCCGTTGGAGGGCTTTCTCCAGTACGTTGAAGACATGGGGATGAAGGCCTATGATGGCCTGGTGATTCAGAATGCATCTGACATTGCTCGTGAGAATGATCGCTTGCGAAATGAAACAAACATGGCCTATCTGAAGGAGAAGAACGAAAAGCGCCGAAGACAAGAGGAAGCAATAAAGCGGTGAGTATAATAAATTAAAACACTGAGCCTTTTGTACTTTCAGAAATCCATGAATGGGACTGAGGCCGTGATGTGATCACCTGGCCAACCAGGGTCTTGTCGGATTCCTTTAGACTTGATAAGGAGAAGGGTATGGGATTACCAATGGGCTGGGGACAGGATTTAATTTCCTGCAAATAAAGGCTCATGCTCAACAAAGTCTTGGTTAAAGCACAGAGGAATATATAGACTTCAATAGGCAAAGTCTGATGACTCACCAATGGCTGTGGCTTCTAGTTCTTACCTTAAATAAAGTTCATCATCTTCCTAGGATCTGACCTAGATTCATCAATAATCACAGGCATGTGAGGCTATAGGCAGGTGGAATTGTGGTGTTTGCTCTCGGTGCAGAGTTGTATGGTTATTAAGTCTTTTGTTTGGCACCAAATGCTCCAGGTTTGTTCAAAGGAAATTACTTTTATGATGCAAAACCTAAACCAGCTGCAAGCTAATCAGCTCTAGATTGCAGCCCTCCAAATGGAGGTTAAATTTATTGGAGCATGAACACCTAAAAAGGGTAAACGTCACATGGTTTTTCAAAAGAAGCGTTGCAGTGTTTTCAGTGTGTGTGTGTGTGCGCACACACACACGTGTTTTCTAGTGATACAGGTGGAAACATGTTGGGTTGGATGAAGTCCTGCTTTTACATTGTAATCTATTTTTAACGGTCTAAAAACATGGGAAATGGTTTCATATCAATTTGCTGGATAACTGGACATTTTGACAGCTCATTATAGATTTTTCATCTGTTTTGTACTGTTGCTTATTATCTGTAAATGTTGTGATATTAAGGAACAGAAAGTATTCTTATGAACTATTCAGGCTTATTAAGAAACCAAGTAATGTCACCCTATGCAACAATTCAAAGGAAAGTAATTTTGTGTGTGAGAAAGATAAACAAAACCAGAAAACAATAGTTGAGAACACTGATTTGAGAGTGCATGCTTTTCTTTGGGACTATTAAAATAGAAATGTATAGTTGGTAAATATTTTCACACTTATATATGTTACTATAATGTTGTAAGATTCCTTTCTATTATATATTAATAATTTTCTGTGGAATTCTTCTGATTGACTTCAGCTTGTGGTGAGCACTTGAACTCTGAGTCTGTGTTTTTTAAATTCAGTAATGCCAGGTAGTCATTCAGATGATAACAATGAAAATTACCAAGTGTATATATTGGTGACAATCATTTGTGGGATCTACTGAACATGGAGAAAAGGTCAATCACACCTTAAACAACATTGTATCCTTGTCTCTTGTGCTGGTACTTTCAACAGTTCCTCTCTTTCCCTCCCCTCCCCCACCATTTTCTAGACAGTTAATTCCCAGCGTGTAGATACCTAGAATAGCAATGGAGCTTCCAATATTGTTGCAACTTCCCTAATACGTTCTTTTCTGAAAATATGACAGTAGAGATGTCTCTAGATATTGTCAAGGGAGGAGGGGGGAAATAGAAAAGTGTAAAACCAAACAAGTGATCACTAGACCAGAGGAAATGAAAGCACTCCCTCGATGCACTGTGGCAGATGACCAGTGGGTACCATCTCAAGAGATCCTGTCTTGGCACCAAATGTCCAAATGCGGAGTTATTATTGGAGGCAGGGGTTAAATGCACATTCATGTGCTGGTACTGGGACTTTAACTCAGTGCCCTGAGTGCTTACTTGGCTTTCTCACTCAAGGCTGATGTTCTACCATGTAAGCCACATCTTTATTTCAGCTTTTTGCTGGTTAATTGGAGGTAAGAGTCTCACTGACTTTTTTTTCTTTGTCAAGTTGACTTCACACTGTGATCCTCAGATTTCATCCTCCTGAGTAGCTAGGATTATAAGCATAAGCCGCTAACATCCAGCCAAATACAGTTTTATTTTTTTCATATGATGTCCAGTGCACAGGGGTTCTGACAATTTATAGATATTAATAGGCTTACACTCTCTCCTCAGAGCACAATTTTGGAGGGAATTGCTTTAACTTTCCTGATAAGAAATATGTTTCTTTAGTATTTTAAGAAAACCCATAACAAAATTCGAATCCTGCGTGTGTTTGGTGGGGAGGGGGTCCCGGGATGGTGACAGAGAATAGCCACATCTAACTTTAACCCACATTCCAATATTTTTTTTTTATCATGCAATGTATGTCTAGTAGAAAAAATTCACAAGGGCATTAATGAACACAGGCTAATTAAAATTACTAAATGTGTGTGATGATTGCCTGTTTAACTATATACTGTGATTTAATATATAGGATATAAATATTGAAGCTCTTAACATAAAGTGTGTTTGACCTTGGAAAGGCATTGATGGTAATTCTCTATGAAATATGCCAGTTGCAATTTCAGAAATGTGCAGGCTGCCAAAGATTGCTTAAAAAATGGAAATAGGATTTCATATGATTGACCTTCTGGATCACATATGTGCTGCTGAAATGCCTTTTGTGCTAAAGCCTGGAAAGCTTAAAACACTGAGCTCTTAGCAAAGGAATAGTCTCCTGACTTTCTCAGTCATTCACGGCACTTAGGCTTTCTGAGCCCAATTCCTTATTTTTAAAGCAACTTGAGGCCTCCTGTCACTGTTCACTCTCATGTTCGTTCACATCCATTTCTCACCTGGGATTTTCCTTTAAAGGTTTGTGGGGTGGAAACATACTAAATAAATGAAAAGGGATGCTGTTAGTGTTTTCCTTAACTGCTTCCAGAACATTCGGTGAGAGGAAAAGAGAGGAAAAAAAAATCTAAATAAGAAAAAGTAATGAAGAAGGAAAGAATTCTTCCAGTGGCTCCTCTCCTCTGCTATTTTAAATTCTAATGGTTTTGTGCAGGTGTCGTTAAATGAGATTTTCTTTTCTTTTATTAAAATGGCTATGGGAAAACAAGCATGCAAAACCTATAGCTTCTGACAAGTGAATTCGGCCTGGATAGGTTGCAAAATCCTAATATGTCATACGAAAAAGGGAAAAGGTAGAGAGTCAGTGTATTAAACCACTGATCCTCCAATAAGAAGGCAGTAAGGGATCACCAGTAATACATTCTGTAAGGCAGAAACTGCTGGTACCTCTGATCTTTAACTTTCCTTAGAGATTCACTATTTATAGGCAATCCCTTTGTTAGGCCATCAAGTATGGAGACTCAGAAAACAGGAGCAATCAAAGTATTTCCCTAAGGGCTGGGAGTGTGGCTTAGTGGTATAGAGTATTTGCCTAGCATGCATGAAGCCTTGAGTTCAATCCCTTAGTACCACATAAGCAAAAAATAATAATAAAATAAATTCAAAGAATACTATCCTATATTCCAATCCCTATCAGGTTACAATTGGGCTCCAGGATTCCCTTTAAGCAAATGTCTCTTTCTTATTTTGCTAAGAGTCATAACATTTTACAAAACAATGTAAGATATATTTTCTAAATTAAAAAGCATCAAGAAAATTTATTCCCAGTTCATGTTTTTCTGAGCATAATTTCTACTATAGGATGGGGCTTTTCTTAATCCTAATGAAACAGATGCAATGTTAGTGAAATTTCCCTAAACATTGTGAGTCTGGAAGACAACTCTGAATTTTAGCAAAGTGGTTCTGACACAAAGGACTACTTAGGCTGATTAGCAATGTCTCTATTCCCTGTGGATGCCCTCAAGGGATCTATATGAGGTTATATTTCCTCTTTTAAAATGACAGTCAGAAATGGAATTAGATTACTTACAGCTCTGTAAAAAAAAAACTTGCAATTGCATATTAGTATGTGCACTTGAAAGCTATTTATACTTCAGGGTTTCAGAATTTCCATAATCCAAATAGAACCAAAAAAAAAAAAACACACCAAAGTTTATGGAAGGGAAATAAAAATATAAATGCAAATTGCTTTTTTTTCTACCATTTTGTTGTCCCCCCAAACAAATGCTTATGCTAGCAAGGTATGAGTTGGTTAATATTCTGAATGATTACCAAAAATACATAATTACACAGGGAGTTATTAATAGAGAATATTAACAGCTGTATGAATTCTCTTTGTGTAACTATGACATCTAGTATCATACACACAGTTTGTGACAGAAGACTTTATCATACTAAGAACATGTATTGATATGATTTCATTTATTATTACTATTTTTTTAGTGGCAGTCCTGGAACTTGAACTCAGGACCTGAGCACTTTCTTAGCTTCTTTGCTCAAGACTAGTTCTCTACCTCTAGAGCCATAGCTCCACTCCCAGAGTTTTCTGGTGCTTAAATGGAGATAAGAGTTTCACAGACTTTCCTGCCTGGGCTGGCTTTGAACGGTGATCCTCAGATCTCAGCCTCTTGAGTAGCTAGGATGATGTGCATTTTAGTAAATGATACACTAACCCAACACAGTGTGAATAACTACTTTGGTCACAAGCAACTCATCTCACTGGATTTGTTTTCACTGGAGGAATGAACAAAAAGGAACAACCCTATTTGTATATCAAAGTGTGCTGAAGCATCATCATACAAGTGAAGCAAGACAGGTAAATGAACAAAGGTTCAGAAAAATGAACAGTTGACAGATAGCCTGGGAGTATAGACAAATGATCTGCAGGTAGCATAGAAATCTCCTTTGTTAGCCATAGCGCCTGTGCTATGGAGAAGCACAGGACAAAGGCCCTCAGCCATAGCCTGTAGAAGCGATCTCAAAGCAGCCGTGTGTGGGAGTCTGACGGCTGGGAATCTGCTGATCTGATCTGCTGTGAGTTTCTGACCTAGTTTTGCTGTAGGAGTTAGTGCTCAGGCAGAGAAAACAAGGTTAATGTGTTGATAAGGGGAGAGATTAAACAGTATCTTAATAACCCTCACGAATTTTGGCTTCCTCTTGTGTTTGTGATTAATTCCAATCACTTTCCAGAGGAAGACAAGCTGCTTTCCTTGTTTCTATATTAAAACTGGCCATTCAGATTGATTTTTTTTAAGCTAAACAAGATATTCAGACATGGCAGTAATTTTGGTTAGA